ATTTCTGGAGGGCTGGAGGTCCAGAGGGCTGGAGGTCCAGAGGGCTGGGAGGTCCAGAGGGCTGGAGGACCAGAGGGCTGGAGGCCTGGATTTCTGGAGAGCTGGAGGGCCAGAGGGCTGCAAGACTGGAGGTCCAGAGGACTGGAGGGTTGGAAGTCCAGAGATCTGGAGGGCCAGGGGTCCAGAGGGCTGTAGGCCTGGAGGTCCAGATGGCTGGAGGTCTGGAGGTTTGGAGCAGGCTGGAAGTGCAGAGGACCAGAGGGCTGGAGGACCAGATTGTTGGAGGGCTGGAGGCCCCTAGGGTTATAGTTCCAGAGTGCTGGAGGTCCAGAGGACTGAAAGTGTGGAGGTCGCCAGGGCTGGAGAATCAGAGGACTGGAGATGAAGACTGGAGGATGAGAGGGCTGGAGGACCAGGGAGTTGGAGGGCCAGAGGAATGGAGGTCCAGAGGGATGGAGGAGCAGGGAAATGGAGGACCAGAGGAATGGAGATCCAGATTGTTGGAGGACTGGAGGTCCCCAGGGTTAGAGCTCCAGAGGGACCAGAGAGCTGGAGGGGCAGAGGTCTGGAGGAGTGGGTATCGAGAGGACTGTAGGTCCAAAGGGCTGGAGAACTGGAGGTCCAGATGGCTGGAGGACCAGAGGGCCGGAGGTCCAGAGCACCAGAGGGATGGAGGACCAGGGGACTGCAGATTCATAGTGTGGGAGAACTGGAGGAACAGAGGGTGGGCGAACCAGAGAGCTGGAGGACTTGAGAACCAGAGGGCTGGAGGTTTGGAGGTCCATAGGGCTGGAAGGCTGAGGCCTCATTCTTGTGAGACCCCAGCAGAGCTGATCCTTGGGCGTGTGATGCTCTGCTCCAGCTGCTCTCTCCCTGTATCCCACAGGACATGCTGACCATGCTGGGAGAGCAAGGACCCAACTACAACAACGAGGAGTTCCCGGAGCTCAACATCTTCCCGTCCTTCTCAGAGTAGAGCCAGGCCTGGGGAGCTCACCCCGGCCCCGTGTCCCAGCCAGGGCTTTGTCTCCAAGGCCTCTGAACTCTGAACACTTCCTGCCTTCTGGAAGTGAAGCTCCACCATGGAGGAAGCTTGGCAGGAGGAGGAGATGCTGGTGAGGTTGTGGGCACCTGCCCTGTGTGGTGCTGGCAGTGGGGACTGGTCTGGAGGCCTCAGGACTGGAATGGTGCCGGAGCTCACCAAAGCCCCACGGTTCCTCACGCTGGGCTGGTCGGAGGGGTTCCTGTCTGGATCACAGACAAAGCCCTCCAAGTTCCAAGGTGGCTTTTCCTGTTTTTATTTCAACCTTCTATACCCTGCCTCTCTTTTCTATAAAACACAAAGTATTGTAACTTTTCCAGTATTGGAAGAAGCTCTTCCAAGTGTTAATCCATGTGGAACTCGATCCCAGAGGATGCTTGAGTAAGAGCCCGTGTCCAAAGCAGCTCCTCACTGGAGGAGCTCTCCTTGGAGGGTTGTTCCCAAAGCTCTGAGGAGCTTTAGATGCTCCCACGTTGGTGGGTGGTTGGATTCCATCTCTCCTGTGAACTGTGCAATGAGTTTGGGCCTCGGAGTCGGTGTCGCCATCGACTCCCTTGGGCCCGGTTGTGCCGGGAATGACGGGATAGTTCCGAGCCATAAAGCTGTTGTATCTCCAGAGCTTTGGTCTTGCTGCATCACTCCTGCAGCGGGTTCCTGTGCTGCCCTCAGTCATGGTCAGCTTGGTGGGGGGCAGTGGAACTGCTCTGCGTGGGCAGTGGGGTTCCACCGCGTGGACATCCAGGTCCTCACCTTCCTGCTGGAGCTGAGCAGGGCCTCGCTGAGGAGCTGGTTTTCCCTCTCATCACTGTCTCCTTAAAGGCAAATTCCTGCCTTGTGCTGACCCTGTTGCCAAATCCTGGGATGGAGGCAGCTGAGGCAGGTGGGAATGGGAAGATGGAGGCTTTATATCCATCACCTTCAGTTTAAACCTTCTGATCTTGTGGCAAGAAGAAATGGGGGGCAAATCTTGCTCTCCTCAGGCTCCACACTTGGATTCCTGCTGCCAGGGCAAGCCTGGCTTCCATTCCAATAGGAAAACTTGCTCATTGCGGAGTTGAACGTGGAAGGAAACTTGGCACAAGCACAGCAGGGGAAGGACAAGCAGCATTCCTGAAGCCTGGCTGCATACTTTTCCCTCCTCCCTGCGTGTCAGTGGGGCTGAGAGCCCCTGCTGGCCTGGAGGGGCTGCTCTGCTGCTGTGGGGAGAGGAGAGGCTGTGCTGGATGGAGCTGATGATGGGGAAGATGCTCCCAGAGCGGCTTTTGGTACCATCCAACCCCTCCATCGTGTTCCTGCTCATGGAGGGCGATGCTTGTAGGGACCTGGAGAGGCTTCTCTTGGGGTGGAGCAGAAAACTTCCATTTTTTCCACTTTTTCTCCTGCTTTTATTGGAAAACTAAGATTTGAAGTTGTTTTTTCCTCATTTCCAACCCCACTTCCAAATGTAGCCGTGGGAAGGTGGAAACCTCCCATTCAGGAGTTTGGAACCGTCCTATGTTCCCCCTGCCTGCCCTTTAATCCAGGGAATCTGCTACCAGCAGTAACACGATGGCCTCTCATTGCCTGTCCCATCCCAGTGCCAGGTTCTGGAGTTATCCCAGGCATGGAGGCGTGTGTTTGGGAAGCAGCAAGGTGCTTCCTGCATGCTCATCCCCAGGCCGAGCTGTGCCGTGCTCCGGTGTGGGAGCCCTTCCCAATGGATGCAGGATGGAGCAGCCCTCGCCTGCCCAAGGAGGAGGCAGGTTCCCATTTCTACAGCCCTCAAGCCCTGGAGGAGGTGACCTTTGGGGAGCTGCAGCTCTGGTGCTCTCTGCAGTGATGTCCTTCAGCTCCAGCTCTGCCCAGGGCACCAGAACCTCTTCTTCCTCCTCGTGTGGGCCCCAGACTCCCTCTCGCTGCAGCACTTGGTGATGGTTCCATGGGGCAGAGATCTCACAACAGAGATTTCCCTTGGCAAAGCTCAGCCTCATTCCTGCCTCCTCCCTCCCTGTGCCATGGCTGTGGGGTACCCTGGATCCCCATCCTTCACCTAACAGCAATACTGGGACCCCTGGGTGCTCCATCCCTGGGTGCTCCCTCCCTTCTTCCCCCTCTTGGGTACTTGAATGGTTGTTGGGGCTGCTCAGCCTGGAGAAGAGAAGCTGTGGAGAGCTCAGAGCAGCTTCCAGTGTCTGAAGGGGGCTGCAAGGATGCTGGAGAGGGGCCTTCATCAGGGACTGGAGCGACAGGACAAGGGGTGATGGGTTCAGACTGGAACGGGGGATTTAGGTTGGAGATAAGGAAGAAGTGAGGGTGGTGGGACACTGGAATGGGTTGAATGGAGAAGCTGTGGCTGCCCCATCCCTGGCAGTGTTCAAGGCCAGGTTGGACACAGGGGCTTGGAGCATCCTGCTCTAGTGATGGGGTCCGTACCTGTGGCAGGGGCTGGAGCTGGATGAGCTTTAAGGTCCATTCCATCCCATTGCATGATTCCTCCCCAGAGTGGGGATGCAGTCAGTGCCCCTTCAGCCTCACCTTGTTCCCACCTCTTGGCTATCTTCAGCCTCACCTGCATGGAGCAGGGCCCCTAAACCACTGCTTCCCCCTGCCCTGCCCCTGCTCTGGCTGCTGGGTCCCTGCTGTGGGTGCTCTGTCCCCAGGGGTGGCCTCACCCCTCGGTCACACTCGGCCACGTCAGGGCCCCGTGCTCGGGGCCATGGGGCCACAGCAGGGCCTGACTCAGCCCCGCTATGGGCAAGGGAACTGGTGTCTGGGTGCAGGTCCCTGTCCCTGGGACCCCTGCGGTGACGCGGGGACAGCTTAAGGGGTGGCTCCATCCTTGGTGCTTCTCCATCCCCTTCACTGTGCCCCGGGAGGGCCCATCCCTGCACCCATGGTGGGGTGATGATGGTGATGATGATGATGGTGATGATGATGATGGTGATGATGATGTCCCCGATGTGATGGGGCTGATGCCACCGGGCTATGACCAAGGTTTTCTGCTTGTCCCGGGCAGGAGCCTCGTGATGAGGTGCCCGTCACTGCAGAAAGCACCGTCTGGTCCTGCTTCCCCCTGTGCTGCTGCGGGGTCAGGGCTGAACTGGGCACCAGTGGCCGAATCCTGCCCTTAGTGGGGCAGCAGCCCTGGTTTGGGGACATTGGGGACAGAGATAAGGCCCCGTCCCCTGCTCCAGGTGTCACACAGCATCCCTGGGGGGAGGGTTTCATCCTGCCCTCATCCTTTGGGACCACTGTGTCCCAAAGCAAGCGGGTGCTCAGCTCCCCTTGGGAAGCAGTGTGGGTCTCCCGGGAATGCGGGCAGCCCGTGGGGCAGGGCTGTGGGACAAGGAGATGTCCTTAGGGCAGGACATCGCTGGAGCAGGATCCAGAGCCACCAGCCCCACAGCTGGGGCTGACTCAGCATCACGTGAAGCCGGGAGGGAGCCGCTGCTGGATCCCCCCCTCCCTTCCCGGTCTCCTCCTTCCCTCCACCCCTGGAGCAGCTCCCAAAACTTTCCAGCTGCCGCTTGAACTTCCTCAATCCGGGAGCATAAAAGAGCCGCGGCCGCAGCGCCCGCATCCCGGTCCTGGCTGCGCCGTCCCCTGCCAGCACCGTGCTGGGGTAAGGATGGGGCCCATGGGCGGAGGGAGACCCCCAATGAGGCCTCCCTGGGGTGCTTGGGTGGCTTTTCCCTAGGGAAACGGGGTCCTGTGGGGCAGCAATGGGACTCGAGAGCTGCCAAAGGGGAAACTGAGGCAGGGAGCATTGAGCAGGGCTGCGGGTCCCTGCTCTGGGGGTCTGGTGAGGAAGTGGGGTGAGGGGGTAAAGCAAAGCGCGTGGATGGGGCCGGGGGTCCTCCCCATTGCTCTGTGCGCCCCACATGGGGTTTCCCTGTGCCTCGGGGCAGCTGGCGAGGCGCCGGCGTTGGGAACGGGAGCCAGGAGTCGGGGCTCATGTGATGCTGCTCCCGGCCAGCGTGGCCCCGGGATGGGAGGGGGATCCTGGCCCAATCCTGCTGCTGGTGGATGTGGGGTCCTGGGCTCCCCCTGCCCCTATGCAGGGAGGGAACGGGGTCCCCCTGGGCTTAGAAGTGGGGTGGGCGCAGGGTCCCATTCCCCTACAGTGGTGACGGGCACAGGACCCTGTCCCCTTCCCCGGCTCAGTCTCTGTCCCCATCCACAGCGCTCAGCTCGTCCCCAGGATGTGGTGGCCCACGCTGCTGGCCCTGCTGGTCCCTGCGGTGGCCCAGTTCCAGGCGGAGCGGGAGCTGGATGCCCAGTGGGACCTATGGAAGAAAACCCATCGCAAGCAGTACAACGGCGAGGTACGGGGAGCGATGGCCCCACGGGGCGGGTGGCCATGGGGCTGTCCCCGTGGGTTGTTGGAAGGAGGACAGGGGCAGGACCCCCTTCACCCAGCTCCATCTCACCCCATGGTGCAGGAGGACGAGGCGGCGCGGAGGTTGATCTGGGAGAAGAACCTCAAGTACATCAACACCCACAACCTGGAGCACGCGTTGGGCGTTCACACCTTCGAGCTGGCCATGAACCACTTGGGTGACTTGGTGAGCGTGGGGTGGGAGAGAAGGGGCTGAGCACACCCATGGGGCTGCGCTCATCATCTCCTTCCCCAGACCAGCGAGGAGGTGCTGAGGACGATGACAGGGTTGAAGGTGCCCCGTGGCCGTCCCCGTCGCAACGAGACGCTCTACGTCCCTGACTGGACCGAGAGGGCCCCGGCGGCCGTGGACTGGAGGAGGAAAGGCTACGTGACCCCTGTCAAGAACCAGGTAAGCGGGGTGCTGCTGGGGGTGCCTGGAGCCGGGTGCCCGGTGTCGCCCCGGTGTCACCCCGGTGTCCCCATAGGGCCAGTGCGGCTCGTGCTGGGCGTTCAGCTCGGTGGGTGCCCTGGAGGGGCAGCTCAAACGCAGGACGGGGAAGCTGCTGTCCCTCAGCCCGCAGAACCTGGTGGACTGCGTGGCCAACAACGACGGCTGCGGCGGCGGGTACATGACCAACGCCTTCGAGTACGTGCGGCAGAACCGCGGCATCGACTCCGAGGACGCCTACCCCTACATCGGCCAGGTCCGGGGCTGGGGCACGGGCTCCCTCTGCTCCCCTCCACCTGCCCCTTCGCCTGCCCTTGACCCTGCTGCGCCCCACAGGACGAGAGCTGCATGTACAGCCCCACGGGCAAGGCAGCCAAGTGCCGCGGCTACCGCGAGATCCCCGAGGGCAACGAGAAGGCGCTGAAGAGGGCAGTGGCCAGGATCGGCCCCGTCTCGGTGGGCATCGACGCCAGCCTCCCCTCCTTCCAGTTCTACAGCCGCGGTGAGGGGCAGCTCGGGGAAACTGAGGCACGGGGGGTGCTCTGGGCCCTGGGTGACCCCGCTCCTGTCCCCCCCCCCCCCAGGCGTGTACTATGATGAGAGCTGCAACGCCCAGAACATCAACCACGCGGTGCTGGCGGTGGGCTACGGCACGCAGAAGGGCACCAAGCACTGGATCCTCAAGAACAGGTACCTCAGGGCACCGGGGCCGCTTGGCTCCGCCGGGTTGGGCTCCACCGGCGGCTCAGGCTCTGCCTTTTCTCCCCATAGCTGGGGCGAGGAGTGGGGCAACAAGGGCTACGTGCTCCTGGCGCGCAACATGAACAACGCCTGCGGCATCGCCAACCTGGCCAGCTTCCCCAGGATGTGAGCCCCCATCCCGCTTCCCAGCTCCCCTCCTTGCTCCCCGTCTCCGAAGCTGGTGTTGCTCCAGGGGAATCTCTGCCTTTCCATGAGAAACCTCCCCAGGAACGGGGGGAGGCCCCAGCTCCCTATGGAAGTTGGGATGAGCTCCCCCCAGCTCCTTTGCCGTGCCGGGTTCTGCCTTCCCATGGCCACAGACACTCAGGGCCGGCTCCAGAGAGTCTGATCCGCCCGGAGATGCTTGTGCAAACCGCCCCTGTTCCTCTGGGAATGGGACATCCCCATGGAGAGCACTGTCCCCCTGCGCCCCAAGGCAGGATGCAGGGAATGATAGGACTTTATTTTTAAATAAACACTGTTGGGAATAAACTCTGGGGCTGGGTCCTGTGGGGCTGGGTCCTGTGGGGCTGGCCCCATGGTGGGGAGGGGCTGGAGTGGTGGCAAAGTCCAAAAGGGGCAGGAGCTGATGGTAAAACACGGCTGATGCCTGGGGTGAGGTGAGGAGAGAAGATGCTGCTGGGGGCTCCTTGCAACACACCAGTAGCAAGGTCGGGGCTCGGGTCTACCCCATTCACCCCAATAGCAAGCTGGGAGCTCAGGTCTACCCCGTTCACACCGGTGTAAAGGCAGCTGGGGTCTACCCCGTTTACACTGAGCACGGCTCCTGGGCTTGACCTCCTCCTGTCTCTCGGCTCAGCACCAAGTCCCAGGAGCACCCAAATCACAGCAGCAGAGTGGGAGCCCTGCTCCTGGCCCTCCATGAGCCCCATGGGAGCCCCGCCATGGATGCGTGGCCCCTCGTGTGCCCCCATTCCCGGCCGGCATCGCGTGTCCCGCTCCGGCTGCGCCCACGGGAGGCTCGGCCAGCGCTGCTCCCGCTAAATGAAAATGAAATCAGAGCATTTCCTCACTTCCTGGCTCGTGATTTGTCTGCTGAGCAGGCCCGGAGGCCACGGGCAGCCCGGCAGTGGGGACGCTGCTCTGTCCCCACTGACCCCACACACGCTGCAGGTCAGTGCCCAGCACCGGGAGAAGCCTTTCCAGGTACGTTGGGTGCTTTTGGCTTTAACCCTCCCCCGGTGGGGGAGGATGGAGCTTGGAGGAAGTAAAACTGCAGGAGGATGTTTCGGTGTTGACTCTGGCTCCATTTTAGCTCTGATTTCCCCCAAGCCCTCTCCGGGCAGGGCTTGCAGGAGGTGGCTGGATGAAAATAGGAGGTTCTGGTTTGCTCTTTGCTCTGCTGGAGCCCCAGGTTTGAGAGAGCAGCCTCTTGCCCAGGTGATGGGAGACACCTTCGGGGAGGGTTTCTCAGCAGGGTGGAACCAGGATCGTGTCTGGATGTGTCCCTGTGCGTCGGTGTCCTCGGGGCTCGGGTCCAGCCGACTTCTCCCCTTGCAGGCAGCGAGGCCAGGATGGGATTCCCCTTCCCACCTGGCAGGGGTTGGGAGCACCAGGAGGGGAGCTCCTCTGGGCACTCAGGGCAGGAGCTGGTGGCATCACCCGGTGTAGAAACACCATGAAGGACATGCCAGGGAGCCGAGGTCAGGGATGTCATCACCTCCTGCCTCTTACCCAACCGGATTTGTCACCAAGGGATCAAGCCAGCTCCCATCCCTCTGCTCCTGGCGTTTGTGCCGTGTCGCTCCGGCTGCCAGGTCCCATTGGAGCGGGATGAAGCTGCTGCCTCCCCTCGCCTTCCTGGCCACGCTTGTGGTGGCCCTGGGGCACCCTGACCCTGCGCTGGACTGGCACTGGCAGCTCTGGAAGAAGACCCATGGCAAGGAGTATCGCCACGAGGTAGGGACGCGGCGGTGGGCGGCTCAGGGCGCTGATGGGGTGGGTGCTGCTCGCCATAACCCAGCATCACCCCGTGGGGATGGTTTGATGTGCTCACCCTTTAGAGGGATGGAGTGGGTGCAGTGGCAGCGGGGCTGGGTTTGATTCCAGAAGGAGGAATGGGATCGACGCGAGATTTGGGAGAGGAACCTGCGCCTGGTGACGCTGCACAACCTGGAGCACTCCCTGGGGCTGCACTCCTACACGCTGGGCATGAACCACCTGGGGGACATGGTAGGTACGGGCCACGCTGCTGGGATGGGGCTTGTCTTGGTCTCTCATCCCATAGGAGGGGGATTTAACATGGGTTTGGGGTGGGAAAGCGCCCAGCAGCTCCTCAGCCCGTCTTCTTGTGGGTTCCAGCAGCCATGGACAAACTGCTCCGACATTCCTGTGCTCAGCCTCCCAGTGTGAGGCAATGAGCTGTGAGGAAATAGCTCCTCAGTGCAGCTTTTTGGGTGCTCAGACCCGGTCCTGGTCATTACATATATGTGCAACTCATCCCTCTTCAACGTCCTGAGCTGGTGGTGGTGGTGGTTAATGACACATCCCAGCTTGGAGGGGCGCTGGGGTTGAGCTTTGTGCGTTCTTCTTCTTGCCCTTTCCAATGAATGGGTAGAAACCCAATGTGGAAAGCAGCCGGCCAAGGGCTGCTCAAGCTCAGACACCTCTTGCACACCCACTGGATAGGGGAGACACCATCATGAGCCGCTGTTTTCTCCCCCCAAAACCCAGACCAGCAAGGAGGTGGCAGCTTTGTTAACGGGGCTCAGCATCGCTCCCCGATCCCGGCGCATCTCCGCATCCCGCCCGCAGCCCCGCAGCCGCCTCCCGGACACGGTGGATTGGAGGGAGCAGGGATGCGTCACGGATGTGAAGAACCAGGTTTGAACCCCCCTCAACCCCGTGCCCCCTTCATGTCCTGGTCCCCGAGCGGGGTCTGAGCATCTCCGGGGCTCCCTTAGGGCGCCTGCGGCTCGTGCTGGGCCTTCAGCGCCGTGGGAGCGCTCGAGGCGCAGGTGAAGCTGAAGACGGGGACCTTGGTGTCGCTGAGCACCCAGAACCTCGTGGACTGCTCCATGCCGCAGGGGAACCGGGGCTGCAGCGGCGGGTTCATGACCAGAGCCTTCCAGTACATCATCGACAACGGCGGCATCGACTCCGAGCAGTCCTACCCCTACAAGGCTGAGGTAGGCACCGGAGCCAGGGCCTCCAGTCCCAACCTTCCCTGGGGGACCTGCAGGAATCTAGCGTGGAGCAGCGAGGCCGCTCACCCCTGTGCGGACACCTTCCTCCTCACCCATCTCCCCCCTTCTATCATGGTTTCTTACCAACCTCACCTCATCTTCTCAGCCCTTCCAAACGCAGGGAAGGGACCTTTGGGCTCTGTTTTGGCCCCCAGGTGAATGACTGGACCTGGAGCCAGAATTTCCACAAGTTTCTGTCTGTCCTACATAAATGATTGGGCAACACGTTCCAGGGAAGGGGAAATGGGGCAGGAGGCCTGGGTCCTGCTGTCAGCTCTCCGCATTAATCCATCCTCTGTAGGGTGAGGATGTTCTTTAATAGCTGCCTATAACAGATAAGAGGTCCTGAGACAAGAGGGAGAGGAAAACAAAGATCCCAGTGCTGAAGGTCTTGCTGGCCAGAGACAAGAGGAGGCCTGGAATGACCTTGTCTCAGACCCATGGCTTGGTCCAAGGAAGAAAAGTGGAATAAAAGGCTTCAAACAGCACAAGGCAGCTTCAGAGAACCCCAAAATGCTGCTCCCTCCATCCAGAGGAGGATGGGAAGCCCTGGGCTTCATTTACATCATGAGAAACGTAGGTGAGATGGAAGGACGAGGAAGCGAGGACAGTGTCTCTAGGGAGGTAGGAGTCATCAGAGCTTTCTAGACCACAGGCAGAGCATTGTGTTGCAATGGTTTGGCTGCTCTTGCTGTGGGGAGTTGAGGTGGACAAGATGATCCCTTCAGGTCCTTCCAGCCACCTTTTCCATAGTCCTGTATATAGTACGTAGGTAGTATGTAGTACTACAGACATACTGGATGTAGTAGTACATAGGTAGTATGTAGTACTACAGACATACTGCATGTAGTAGTACCTAGGTAGCATGTAGTACTACAGACATACTGCATGTAGTAGTACCTAGGTAGTATGTGGTACTACATACATACTGGATGTAGTAGTACGTAGGTAGTATGTGGTACTGGATGTAGTAAAACGTAGGTAGCATGTAGTACTACAGACATACTGCATGTAGTAGTACCTAGGTAGTATGTGGTACTACATACATACTGGATGTAGTAGTACGTAGGTAGTATGTGGTACTGGATGTAGTAAAACGTAGGTAGTATGTAGTACTACATACATACTGGATGCAGTAGTACGTAGGTAGCATGTAGTACTACATACATACTGGATGCAGTAGTACGTAGGTAGCATGTAGTACTACATACATACTGATGCAGTAGTACGTAGGTAGCATGTAGTACTACATACATACTGGATGCAGTAGTACGTAGGTAGCATGTAGTACTACATACATACTGAATGCAGTAGTACGTAGGTAGTATGTGGTACTACGTACATACTGGATGTAGTAGTACGTAGGTAGTATGTGGTACTACGTACATACTGGATGTAGTAGTACGTAGGTAGCATGTGGTACTACGTACATACTGGATGTAGTAGTACGTAGGTAGTATGTGGTACCTACGTACATACTGGATGTAGTAGTACGTAGGTAGTATGTAGTACTACGTACATACTGGATGTAGTAGTACGTAGGTAGTATGTGGTACTACGTACATACTGGATGTAGTACTACGTAGGTAGTATGTGGTACTACAGACATACTACATGTAGTAGTACATAGGTAGTATGTAGTACTGGATGTAGTAAAACATAGGTAGTATGTAGTACTACATACATACTGGATGCACTAGTACGTAGGTAGCATGTAGTACTACATACATACTGGATGCAGTAGTACGTAGGTAGTATGTAGTACTACATACATACTGGATGTAGTAGAACGTAGGTAGTATGTAGTACTACAGACATACTGCAGGTAGTATGGAGCAATGGTGGTCAAAGAAAAGAAAGTGAGGAACAAGGTAGAAGGGGGCTGATGGAAACCACACACCTGAGGGTCCCGAGACGTTCCTGGTGCATTCCTGGTGCTCCTCAACTCCCTTTTGTTCCTGCCAGAACGGGACGTGCCAATACAACGCTTCCGCACGGGCTGCCACTTGCTCCAAGTACATTGAGCTGCCCTATGCTGATGAAGAAGCTCTCAAAGATGCTGTGGCCAATGTTGGACCCAGTCTCTGTTGCCATTGATGCCACCCAGCCCACCTTCTTCTTGTACAAGTCAGGTCCGTCCTGGTACCCTGGAGATCTTCTTCACAGCCTTTTCTGCACGTAAAGCCCCTGGGTGGGATTGGGCAAGTTCCTGGGTCTGAGGCAGAAGTTCTTCCCTTGAGGGTGGTGGGACACTGAAATGGGTTGAATGGAGAAGCTTTGGCTCCC